CAATTGGCAGTTTCAGTAATCTCTATGTACTTTATAGCTTTTTCAGTAACAACTGAGCATGCCTCCAAGAGTTTAAATAGTTTTCCAATGTCAGAATTTAGAACCGAGCATCCTACTTCCTTGTCTATTTTTGAAGCATCCGTATACAAGATGTTACACTCCTTGTATTTTTAAAGGTTTTATAAAAATAATTTTTGTATTTAAATTGGAAGTTTCATATCCTTTCTACATCAGGCGATTGAGGTATCTATAATTGGTGAGGCATGGGTCCATCGAGGGATTATTATATCCAGCACATCCAGTATCTCTTTCTAAATCTGAAAGATTTAGATTCCTCCAGTTACCCGCTCCCTCACTGCAGAATAATATATCATTTATATAATATTATTCATCATTAATATCATATAATATTTATTATATGACTGGGTTAGTCTTCTAATAATAATCTTGATTTTAAGCCCACATTTCATTGTCAGAAATAACCTTCTCAAATGTAGGGGAAGTTCACCAGAACTCACAGTTTCATCAATTTAGATGATACATATTTAAAAATTATTATTTTTTCTTTTTTTTTTGTAAATAAAATGTGTATTTATGCAGTTTTGTTCATGATAATATACCCCAAGGCATGAAATATAAATACATCAAGCTTTGTAATAATTTATTGTATTTAATTTTCCTGAAAATACAGGTAGTTTTAGGTGACACGATATCAAATCATTTATTTACACAATTTTATCCCGATTGGCAAGGTAAGATCATCGAATCCTTCTGGTGTGGAAGGCATTCGATTACTTCACCAATTTTCAATATTCATAGACACTAACAACCCCCTTGTATTGTTATGTAGATATCATTTATTTTCCGCCCCTTTAGGACGACTAGAGTCATTTGCGTAATCTTTTTTTTTTTAATTTAAATATTTTGTATTTAATTCAATTGTTTTAACATTTTTAGTTTTTAAATTATATTCACCTATCTATTTTCACGAAATCCAAAATTATCAAGTCCTATTATCGTTCATGCTCTGTAATTCAGGCCAAAACTCATTTTCTCTAAAAACAACAATAAAAGGCGTAGCAGTGTACCCAACACTCAACCATTCAAGAAGTTGATTGGTCTTCATCGATATCCAAATTCAAGCCCAGAGGAACTAAGCAATTACCTAAATATCCTCAATACATAAGGGATTTCATCAGAGTAAAGGGAAGAAAGAGCGCATAAGATATGGAATATGGTTATTGGACCCTATTTTGTGAGATCCTGTGATTTCTTTGAAAGATTATAAAAATGTGTTCAATCAATCTACAAAAAGGTATGTAACGATTTTGTGAGGAAAAATTTGAACTCTTCACTCATCGCCTTTCTTTTCTATTTAAACCATTCACTGATTTCACAAACATTGAACATTGAGACCCTCATACTTACCCTTTGCAACATTTCCGACATTCCTTTGCAACTTACGCTTTTGGCCTGAAGTCCCTCCCAAAAATGAATTCGTTAGTGCAGCCGTCTATTCTGTTATACTTATGTTTTTATTTTTTTCTCAAATCATGCATTTCAATTATTTATTTGTGTATAATAAATAATTAAGTGGCATGAAATATTTTTAGACCGACATGACATTGATAGTGAAGGCCGCTAAATATATATATATATATATATAATTCATTGTAGGTATATGTAAGATATAAGCGCCTATGCGCCTATGTAAAGAAGCGCCTGTTTTAACCTTCGGCAAAGCTCGACAAAGCTCGGCTGCGCGCTCAGGTTTCTTTATTATTACTCGGTTCTCTATTACTATATTTTTACTTCTCATTTAGATTATTAGCGATTTTACATTGCATATTTAACCATTTTTTATATCAGTTTCCAATATGGAATAATTAATTATTTCAAATAAAACAAAAGGTATTTTAGAGGAAGAACTTCTGAAAATTAGGTATTTAAGCTCTGTAAGAGAACATCAATGAGAATAAAACCTACATTACATTAAAAATTGCTTAATTTTACACTTTTTTGAGAATATCGTAAAAACTTCTATAATTAATAATACAAAATGTCACTTCCTGTTAGCTGATTTTGAAGACAAAATTACTGTAACATCTGGGCCATATAAAAACCTTAAATACGCAATTGAAGTATCGTAAGACTTTTTGCTTTTGAGCCAGATAGTTTGGGTAGCGCAAATATAAAAGTCCTTTAAATCTATAATAGATAAAGAATGTCACGTACTTATATCATACTATAATATTTATTTGTTTAAAGTTTAAAGACAAAACAGTTAGCTCTGCGAAAAGAATGAAATTAATGATTTATATACATATTTACAGAAAAACCTATTTATTTTGTTTATTGTTTGGGAACTGAATGGATAGGAAATGATTGAATGTTCAAAATTTAAAGTATTAGAGTAACGGAAGTAGGAGGGAATATGATTCCATAGAGACGAGGATCGGATAATCAAAGATCTGTCGAACGCCGCGGATCGTTGGCCCGTAGTTTATAGATCTGGATCTGGTTTATAGATATATAAATTGTGTCGGTGAATATAATAGAGATGATAGATTTGCGGCTATTCAATCTATCAAACCCTAAAAGGTTTGGTTCGCTGGGCTAACAGGTAAACCTGGGTTTACGAAAGCAAAGGTGGGAGATCTGCGTTTAGGCTAAACTTGTGGGTTAGGTACGGACGGCGGCCGGTGAAGTTAAATTAAGGAAACTGATACAAAATACCAATTGTGGAGGGAGGAGTGGTTTTTCGGGAATTTGGGGAAGTTTCATCAACCAGGCAGATGGAAACTCTTTAATTCTTATTCCTGAGCTTAAAAATAAAACATATGAAGGGCAAAACTTTATAAATTATTTGCCACAAATGTCCTATTTTGGTCCAAGCTGTTCTCAACCTTGAAAGCCGTTTACTCGGAACTGGTAAGTACTAGTCAAATTATTAACAACATTTTTATGAAGAATTTTATGAGAAATGGTTTCATTCCTATTCATTATTTCCATCCGGTCAATGGATTCAAAGTTAAATAAAGAATATTGACACAAAATGCCAAATGGTGGTAGAAGGGGTGGTTTTCGCGAATTTTGAGATGTTTCATCTACTAAACAAATGGTAACTCTTGATTCTTATTCCTAATATCGGACCCTCCTATCGGAAACGAGCTCCGACCACAACATAATTGCATTCGACCTGATACAGGACGCAAGATGCTCCCACGGTACAGACAGAGGGTATGTGACCCGAAGAAGAGACTGGATCTTGATTACTACCAGGATTACCGCAGTCGTTATGGATGCCGCGGAAGAATCTCTCCAGCACCGCAAAGCGAGAGAACGACCTGTCCCATGGTGGTCGCTGATAGGCTGCTTGCGATTCTCAACGATTGCCTAGATAGGGGATACTTTCCAAGAAGCTGGAAAATTGCCTATGTCAGACTCTTCTACAAAGAAAGAGACAAGGACAATCAACTTGCTAAATCATACAGGCCCATTTGTCTCCTTCCTGTAATGAGCAAGGTATTCGAAAACCTGAGAAAGGTATTCGAGCCATCCATTGCAATATGGACCATGGCCTGAATGAAGCTATCATTAAAGGCAAGGGAAGGCAAGGCTACAGATGCCATATTGCGAGTGCTTCATGACGTAGAAGAAAGAGCGGTGAGGTATGTTAGGTATGTTCTCGTGTTCGAGATATCCTCCGCGTTTGACAGCTTGTGGTGGCCGAGTGTTCCCCAGTAACTCGAGAAGTATGAACCTCCCAGTAACCTATATGACCTAGTGAGAAGCTATCTCCAGGACCGGACATTGAAAATTAGGGCAGATTCTTTGAAGTAGAAGATACCGTCGAGAGGAACTGCCCACAGGGATCTGTTCTGGGTCCTGCCTTGTGGAAGCTAGTCTTTAACGTGTTGCTGGAGAAGCTCGAAGAGGAGCGGTTCCCTCCCACGGCCTATGATGACGATTTGGCCGGCATAGTGGCCTCAAACAGCATAGCCGGTCTGAAAGCAGAAGCTGAACGATGCCGCCAGTTTGGTAGGAAGATGGTGCGAGAGGAAGAAGTTAAAGATGGCTGCAAAAAAGTCCCAGGCAATTCTCTTGAGGGGCACAACTGACAGGGCGCATCCTCTTATGTTGAGTATAGAAAAAAAAAGGATATGTCCAAGTGAGGTTATCACCTACCTTGGCATAAAAATTGGTCGAAAGTTCAACGTGACTCCTCACCTGGACTATATGAAAACTAGAGTCACAGTGGCCCTAAATGGACTCCGTCGTGTCGGAGGCGTCTTCTAGGGTCTCAGATACCCAGCTACAATGACTATATACAAAGGAGTTGTTTTAGGTATTCTGAGATACGCGTCACCAGTCTGGAACCTAAACCTCTCGCACCTCAGAAAATTTACTGTGAAGGGCAACATTTTATAAATTATTAACCCCAAAACTCCTGAAGTCTTGGAACAACTAGTGGATAGTAATAATAGTTTTTTTTTTCAGTTAATTAGCACGCGTTTAGTTCTAATTTTTCTTTTTATTATAAAAAACTAACAAAGAAAGCTTGGTCAATTAGTGAAGGCCTTTTCCACCCCTTTCTTCCACATATTTCTTGTTTCCTCACTCTTCCTTGGCTCGGCTTCAATGTATGGCCAAGGTGTATCTTGTAATTTTCAAAACAGACGGTTTGCTTTTATTTTATAAAAGTAATAATAAAAGAAAATAAGGTTCAATTTAAAATAAATAATTTTGAACAATCTTTATATTCAGATATATATATATATATATATATATATATATATATATATATATATATATATATATATATATATATATATCCATGAATATAAAAATTGCTCAAAATTATTATATATATATATATATATATATATATATATGTGTGTATTTTTTTTTTTTTAAGACGATCTTTGTAACTTTATACGAGTAATATTTTTTCAACTTAGTTGTCGCTAGAAGTATAATCGATATTAATTCGGCGGGAAGTTTCTGTGTTGTTTTGAAAAGAAAGGTTTCATTGTCAAGTGAAAAATAATCTGTTTATGTTTTACATGAGAACTAATTAATAAGATACATTATGGAAAAAAAATTGGACAAAGTATTATGTCTCTTAAAAAAGTTTCGCGCTGAAGAGTTGCCTAAAGTTTTAGAAAGTGCATTTGGGAGTAATTTTTGGAAGGATATTAAGGATTTTGCTCTAAACCGTAAGATTAGTCTTTCAAATAGTCGCAATGTGGCTATGATATGTTTAAATATTTATAAGGTGAGTCCTTTTGAAATTAATTATGATAATATTGTTTAGTTTATGTTAGAGGAATTAATACCCCCAAATTTCATAGAATTGAATAGTTTTTCCAACATAACTTAAGTAATTATTAAGTGAAAATTGGAAGTGTTCTAATCTCTTTTCAATTATTTACTGATTTACTGTTGCTTGTAGGTAGTTAAGATTGATATCAGAAGTCATTGTTGTGGATAGTTACTTATGTTTTAGTTTAACAATACTCAACTAAAAATTAATATTCATTAACCGTAGAACGACACACTTAAATATGTCAATGCATTTTGAAACAGGGCTCAAGTAATGAATAGCCTAATTTCTAACACTAATTTAGCCTAACTCATTTCATCTTCTTTTCCCAGTTAACTAAACTGAACAATATCATGTTATTTATACGAACATGATTCAGCATTACAAAGAAAACCCAGAGTTCTAATTTTTCTTGTACACATCTTTATTTTTGCTTCATCTTTAATTTGCTCTGTCTTTGTTTCATATGCTCCTTGCATCTTCTTTTTATCTTCTAACTCCTATAACAACTATGGATTTCTTCAGGAGAATACTTTTTTTTTTTGGTAGTTGTACTAATTTAAGAAAAAACTGAGATGATGTAAAGGCTCAATACGTTTGCTGTTGAATTAACTTATGTAGTTGTTAGATTTTACTGATGATTTATTACAATTTTTCAAAACTATGTTCAATATATATATATATATATATATATATATATATATATATTTGTTCTTTCTCTTGAGTTTTCACTTTTATATTTTGTTGGCTTAGAAGTAATAGTATTATCAACTAAGCACTGTCGAGTATCCTAAATTCTTTTTTACTATTATTAAACTTTTAAAAGTATTACATTAAGTTAAAATTCCCACTGGTTGCCGGGATTTGAACTCGTACTATTTTTCCTAATAAATTTAGTTATCAGGTTGCCTGGCAATGCACGGTGCTGTGCACACGCATTAGGCCACCCCGCCACTCCTGCATCATGTACTGTGCTCATCTCTGTCTTCCACAAAAATCATTTCTATGAGAACACCTTTCCACCATGATCTGGGTCTTTCCTTGGATCTTGTCCCAGTGTTCCTATATGCTTTTAGAAGGCACCTGTAATCTTCCATCCTGATGACGTGACCAGTCCACTTTAATTTCTGCAACCTGTCATTTTGGTGGTCTCCAAATATGTTTATGCTTTTTCTTGTGAGAGAAGACTGTGCTCATTACAACTAATATATTACCTGTTGCAAAATCAATCAATTGCTCACCAATATCATTCTTGGTTCGATGGAGACTTTTGTTACTATATTTTTGTGAATACCTTTTCTTTACTGACTTGGGTATTAAAGTCGCCTATTACAATTTTATATAGTATCTGTGGCATTGATTCATTATTCCTTCTAAGGTATTTATAAAAGTAATCTTTAGTCTCTTCACATTGTTTTCAGTCGGTGCATGGACATTGACTATGATGATGTTTCTTGACCTAATTGTTATCCTTAATTTGCTCATCTCATCACTGATAAGTTGGAAGTCGATTATTGATCTAAGCATTTGTTGAGCATCCATAAAGTCTGTTCCTAATGCTTGTTTGTATACACTTTCACTGTAGAGAATGTCGTAATGTGGCCCTTCCCAATCCTACAGAGCTCTTGCAGTGCAGCTATATCCGTTCTGCACTTAACTGTTGATCTGACAGTTCCTTCAATCCACCAAGTTTTTATAATGTTCATACATTCTATGTTCAAAAAATAAGTGACCTTTTCCAAGTTCCAGGTGGATGCCATTTAGTAGTCCGGTTTCCAAAGCAATATTGAGTTGTAGAAACTTGGATGTTTTTTACCTATGGGTGGGTAGACAGCCCCTGTCTGTCAACCGTCCTCCTTTATCCAGACTAGTCCTAGCATAATTACTTCCACAGACGGAGTTCATATAATCTTATAATTAATAATGACTATACAATTGTATATACCCTAATGATGGAGGGCGTATTCTCCAATCATGATTAATTAGGACAAGCCTGTTATTTGTAAATGATACTACTACTATTAGAATTCCTTGGGGTTCCATTTATACCATGCTGGAATTGATCATGAAACAAGCTATTGGAGTAGTGATTTGCAACTAGTATTAATTTGTAGTTTTCATTTTCAAAAATTGATTATTTACTTTTATTTTGACAGATAATTTACCTAATTTGATTTTTGTAAGTTAGAATTATTCACATATATGGATGCCGAGCATGAACAATATTTTCAATTTTAGATGTAGTAAGTACCAAGTACCAAAATTTTATTAAAATCTTATGGTTAAGTGTGTTGAAAATTTCAACTTACCTTATTATTTATACATTTAGGTGTTGTTATTTAAATTGAATCCAATAATTTTTGTTGGCTTAGTAAAACTTTATTTGTTTTTATTAATTATATGTTGTGGCAATTATACTGCTACAGTATTTCCTTATTTGAAATTTGTGTTGTTATTTTTTGTTTAATTTAATTAATTAGGCTACTTTCAATAAATTAATTTTTCATTAAGTGTCCTTATGAAATTTTAATAATTCGATCTCCATACTTCCAAAGAACATCCAGCTCTCAAATATTAAGGTCGAACCAAAATAAACAATAGGTGATCCAGCTCGATGTGCTCAGAGAAACACCGTATGGGCTTATATGTACAACAATCTATGCCAGGGGTCTCCAAACTTTTAATCTGCGGACCCCTATGAGACCTTCTCTAAGTACTGCGTAGTAGAGTAAAATAAAAAACTTGTATAAATGACAGTGATCAAAGTAGGTTTCTGAGAGAAACAACTCATGCAATAAATGTTTTAGTAATCTTGTGTTTGAATGATTTTCTAAATTTGATATTTTTTAATTAATTTTTAAAATGTTACCATGTAATCAAAGAAACTTTCACAGGCCAGAGTGGAGGTGCTTGTGGGCCAGATCTGCCCCACAGACAGTAGTTCATAGACCCCTGGTCGTTTTAGTTCTTACTAAAAAAAATTTTGATTCAAATTGATTTATTTTCACTATTAAATGGAATAGTCATTATAGATTGTATACGTGTATGAAATCTATTTAATTATATGTCATAATTTTTAAAAAATATTTTATATGTCATAATAAAATGTTTATAATTAATTGTGTGTGCAATCTTGTCTTATAAAAATTTCTTATGAATATTAAATTTTTTTATTAGTTTGATGCTGTTTATAGGCGTAAAACCCCGAGGTCATCAACACCTAATTCTTTTTTTTTGTTAGTTATCTAATTATTGTTTTTGAAATGAATAAGTTAATCTTTATAATAAATTTATATTTATTGTTTCAGGCTCAAGAACCTACTACTGCTGATATTCAAAAAGTTTTGTGGTATCTTAATTTTTTTGGTAAGTTGTATCCTGTTATTTATTAATATTTATTCTTTATTAACAATTTATCTGTTACAATTGGTGGGATGATAATGAGCTGTAGTTAGGCTATGATTAGTTGGTAGTCCTAGGGCAAACTCATGCGACTCTAAGTTAAAAATCTTTCCCTAAACCTTCAATAATATTTACAAAATTTTTACCATTATATACATATCTTTTGAAAGATAATATTGTAATATTCTAATTTATCTATATGCATTTGTTGTAAGTAATGTCAGTGGATTAGGAAAAAACGTAATGCTATTTTCAACTTTTCTTGTACATACATAATGTTAGTTTCTTAGCGCCATGAGTTCACCGTCAGTCTAATCTCTGTTTTACTATAGCTATCATTTTTCTGTTAAGCTCAATAATTAATTTTTAAATTCTCAGATAGTAGTTATAACTTGAAGTAAATAAACTTAGTAATAGTTATGTTAATGTGTAAAGAAACAAAATAAATGCAAAATTATTTATCTGTTTTATTGATTTTCATAGAGAAGCTTCATAGAAAAGATTTTCATAGAATTTTTTATTTTATATTAAAATTATAACTGTTATGGAATACCTCAGCTCCACAATAAGCTCAATGAATGACCAATGTTAAGAAATAAATTAGCATATAATAACTGCATTGCTTTCTTCCCTCTTGTATAGTACTCTGAATCTAGATCACTCAAGTTATTGTGCACAAGATTTTCATCTCAAATCTTTTAATACTTCTTAATAGGATTCTAGTTCTCACCAGTCCTCGCAGCCATATATCAGAGGATCTTTTGTACGCCCATCTCAGAAACTAGAACAGGCAGCTTTGTTACGATTTCCAAAAGACAGTTTCTTTCCACAGAATCATAGGCTTTTTTTAAATCAACAATTAAGGAGTGCATATCTTGAGCTATATCCCATCTTTTTTCGAGCACCTGTTTTAGGATTAAGATCTGGTCTAGCGTGCTCCTTTCTCTTCTTAATCTAGCTTAGTAATCATCTATTACATTTTTGATGGTTGATCGTGATGTAATATGAGAAGGAATTGATCGGGGGGTGCAGTAAAATAAATACTAAATTATACAAATAGTAATATTTAATTTTTTTGCCGACGTTTCAAGCCACTTTGCAGGTCTTCTTCAGGGCATAGGATGTAGCAATGCGGGAGGCAGTTGAAACACTCAGTGTTCACTCCCGCATTGCTACATCCTACGCCCTGACGAAGACCTGCAAAGTGGGTCAAAACATTGGCAAAAAAATTGAATAATACTGTTTGTATAATTTAGTATTTATTTTACTACACCCCCCGACAACTCCTTCTCATATAAAAAAAATCACATCCATGTTAGAATTATAATTATATAATTTTTTTTATTTTTGATCTAGATATTTGTTTGGCTGGTCCACAGTTTTAAAAAAAATTGGTAGCTTTATTAAAAAGTTAAGATGATTTCCATATGCTTGAAAATAATGATTTTGCTTTGAATGATAGGAGTGAAGTCAGGAAAAATTTATTTTATTTTCTAAATATAATAGCTAAAAATAATAGATAATATAAATTAAATAAAAGACTATTGCTGATGGCGTAAGTGGATGAGTGGCTGAAAGTTATTTGTTTACTTTGAATAGTAAATCATTGTTGAGCTGAGGAAGAGTGGGAGAGGTAGGGATAGAATTGAAGAAAGGAGTGAGGACGGTATTTAATGTACGGTAAAGGTGGGTAGTCTATAAAAGTAGTTACTGGTTTTGTATTGTATTTTAAATAAATTATGGAATAGCATTATAGTTTAGATGATTCTCTTCTCTAAGGAATTCATCATTAGTGGCAAATGGAGGCAAGATAAATGCTCGTTTACAAGATTCATTTCTTTTAACAATGATGTCAAATGAGTAACTGTTAATCCTGGTATCTAATACCCCGGAAATAAAAAAATAAAAAATTCATAAGGTCCATAAGGATCAAGATTAAGACTTATTTGGGTTTAAATAAATGCATGTGAGGTTATAAAAGAAATTACTGAAGTTATCTTTATGAATTCAAGGATGAATGTGGTCAAGACATGCAGCTCATTATTGTTCAACCAAGTGTCCATGTGTAGGTATGAGACTATATTAGATAAACTAAATATACAAGAATATTAGGGAAGTACATGGTACTAATTAGAATGAAATAGCTTAAAAAAGAGTGATGTGAGGTAAGCAGATTGGTCTACTCGGTAATAAGTAAATTGTGTAAACTATCAATCGGTAATATATATAGTGGTTAAAAATGCACAGGTTTCCTTTACACCTTTAATCTATCTATCTTAATGGCTCTACAGCCATCAGTGGGTCCTGGCCTCCTCAATGAGCTTCCACCAAATTTCTCTATTCTGTGCGGCCACTTTCCAGTTTCTGACTCCCAACATGTCTCTAGTGTCACCTGCCACACCATCTGCCCATCTCAATCTCAGTCTGCCAGCTCTCCTGGTATAGTGTAATGGCTCCTCAAGCACTTATCAGGATTTCATACCGCAACATCCGAGCTATGTGTCCTGTCCAACTCAACCTTCTTAATTTTATTATTCCAGCCACATTAGGTTCATTAATCAATTCGAAGAACTCTCTATTCTTCTGAATTCTCCAATCCAGTCCCTGCTTTGCAGAGGCAAATATTCTTCTACGGATTTCCAAAAGGTCCATTTTCGTCATTTTTTATTAAGGTCCATGTTTGGCTACCGTAGGTAAGAACTGGCCGGATGAGCGTTTTATAGAGCTGCAACATCGTGTGTCTACTAAGTAGTGAGCTTCTGATGTGCTCAAGTATGCCAAAATAGCATCGGTTGGCAGCTGCTATTTTCCTCCTAATTTGAGATTCCAGATAAAAGGACTGTTGGACATTCTCACAGGAGTGGGGTCCAGGAGATATTCTTTGGTTTTGCGGATTCTCTCCTTCTTCTGTATACATATATTTTGTTTTATTCTCATTAATGTGGAGCCTCATTTTAGCTGCAGCTTTTTGCAATTCAAGGAAGGGACCTTCGAGAGCTGCAAAGGACCGTGCAACAATATCAATGTCATAAGCATAACCTAACAGTTGCACCATATTTGTAAATATCGTGCCCCTAGTCTGAATGCCAGAGTCTCTCACCATCTTCTCCAGAGTCAAGTTAAACAATAAACATGCCAAAGCATCATCTTGTCTCAGTGCTTAATTGGTGGAAAACTCCAAGGAGCATTCTGAATGAATCCATACTCTGCACTGCACGTCTTGCATTGCCATTTTTGTCAAATGAATTAGTTTAGAGGGAATTTTTAGTTCTCCCATTGCTTCATATAACTTGTGTCTCCTTATGGTATCGAAGGCGCTCTTAAAGTCAATAAATATATGAAGAGTGCTAATTTTATTCTAGAATTGTTCGGAGAGTGAATATTTGATCAATAGTTGATCTACCCTTTCAAATACCAGCTTGGTATTTTCCAATTTGGCATTCATCGAATGGGGCTAGTCTGTTGTAGAAGATGTTGGAGAGTATCTTATATGCGCATTGCAGTAACGAAGGCCTGAACTTCGGGGCGAAACGTCGGCAAATATAAAAATAAATATAATTATTTATTTTTTATCGCTGATCACACCAATCATTCTTCTCTTCATTTCATCCTCCTTTCTGCATAGTTGAAGTCTCGACCTAAAAAGGGTTCTTCCCTTATTAACTTTTTGAAAAACATTCTATTGATATTTTACCTACTAATATTTTTCTAGGTCTCCACTTCTTTAAGCTGTTTATTCTCCCATTCTCGCATTTTCTTTCTATGGAGTCTCTTTTCAACTTGTCTTTCCATTCTATATTTGTTGTATTTTACACCTTTAATAGTTTCAAATACATTAGAAACTTTTATTTTCATTTGTCTAATAAAAATCTGTTTAGAAAATCATATAGGTAGCCCTAAAGTATTTTTTTTTTTTTGTTAAAGATGTTTCATGCCATTCAACTGTAACCTGGAAGTGTGCCTTGTTGTTAGATAGGATTGACAAGTTTCCAACTGATTTAGAAGACCTTAGACGAAAAATTATTCAATCATATAGATGTGAAGCACGAGATGTGGTGAGTTTATTTCTATGAAGAAATATTTTTATTATGGTTAATTTTTCTATTTACTATAGATTGTTTGACATGATAGCAACACTCCTACCTCCTCTTAACCATAAAGGAAGTATATATATAGTAAGGGAAAGTATTGTTATTTGGAAAAATTTCAAATAAGAGTTTTTAATGGCTAATGACTGTTTCAAAGTTTCCTAAGTATAAATAACTCACAATGGGAGGCCTCAGTCAGTGGGTCACCAATTTAAACCAAGTTTATGTGATAATTGCACATCGAAAAATATTTGACACATTCCTGGTGTTTGTTCCAATGGGCCTTCTTCTTCCATTGGCTTGACAGACCATTACTGATCCCTAGCTCCTCCAATAACCTCCCCCAGTCTGCACACCGTTGGGCAGCAGTACTCCAGTCCCTGATTCCTAGGATCGTCCGGGCATTTTCTGCTACGCCATCCAACCATCGAAAACGCGGTTTTCCTCTACACCTGGTATTATGAATGGCCTCACTCATTATTTTTCTGGGGATCTCATCCTCTGGCATTTGTGCTACATGGCCAGCCCACCTCATTCTCCCTAGCCTAATATGCTTCACAATGTCAGGTTCACCAAGGAGATTATACATTTCTTGATTAATACTCTTCCTGATGATAGATAATGATTAATACCCCTCCTGAGGTATGTTTGACCGAATCTTTTAGGTCCATAAATGCCTAGTCAATGCCTTGAAAGCCAATAAACTTTGCTCATCCATCCGTGATATTACCCATGACTCCGAGCTGTACGTCAGGACTGGCCTGATCAATGTCTCATACAGCTGTAATTTTGTTGTCCTTGAAAGATACTTGCTCCTTAGATGTCTTCCTAGTCCAATATAACATCAGTTAGCAATGATTTTTCTCCTCTCAATTTCCTTTGTAATATCATTTCCCGCTGTTATCAGGGATCCCAGGTAGACAAACTCATTCACTTTTTCAAACTTATAGAAGCCAAACTGCTCATTATCTGCCAAGATATCAAAGTCGGAGATCATACACTTGGTTTTCATAGCATTTACACATAGTCCCAGTTGTCCAGCTATTGCTTCCAGTGCAAGGAAAGTCTCATGACCTGCCGCATCTACCGACAATATCCAGATCGTCCGCATAACCAAGGGTCTGCACCTTCTATTAAACACTGCCTGTTATTTGGACACTTGCATCTCGTACCGCTTTCTCTAATGCAATGTTGAAAATCAGACACGCCAGTGCATCTCCCTGTCTCACGCCATTCATTGCAAAGTTCATCTCCGACAATTCGCTCTATACACGCACCATGCTTAATTACTGTTTATTTCTAATTTAGCATAACTTTTATTAAGAACTTAAATAAATAAAAGTTTAACTTTTAACAGATCCTAGAACTTTTTCATTAAAAAGTTTCATAAAAACTGTTATAATGAAACTAATTAAAAAAGTTTTATATATATTTCAACCGCTGGTTAAAAAAAATTATTAAGTTTGTATTTAATGAATGTATTAAAGTATTAATGAAAAAATTGTTTTAGGAAATGATTCTAACTTTAAAAGAAGATTTAATTTGGTTGATGGTAATTGAAAAAAAAATTACAAAGAAGGGTATTAAGTTTGGAAAACCATTTTTTGTAGTTATAAATATCTCTTTGGATAAGCAGTATATATTTTTCCATCCAGGATTTGAAAATGATTCTTCAAATGATGTAAATCATTTAATGGTAAGTTTGTTTGCAATAATCATCGTATTAAAATTGTTGGTGTATATTTTAATTATTTACTTTGTTTGCTATTTTATATAATTGATGTTTTCCTGACAACAATAATCTTAGTATTGTTTAGCTTCCTAATCACATCTGTTATTTGCTCTTAGTCAGGAATTAGAAATTTTCTGATTTCATCTGGCAGGAGAGAGTTAATCCGGTATCTTCATAAACCTAATCTGCAAATTATTGTTTTTTTATAGCTAATATCAATGGCATTAGGATATGAAAAATATAGAGAGGTTAGTTTTGAAGGAAAAGATGTGAAGAGTTTGTTTGAAATGATAAAAAGGCATAATACTCAGCAGAATCAAATTGCAGTTTTTCAACCTAGTAAGTATGATAAAAGTTCAATTAACGTTATCAGTATTACTCATGAATTGATTAGGCAATGATTTTTACCTAGGAAAGTAATTTAATCAGGTCAAATTCCACAGACCTCTTCATTTCAAACTCCTCTGAGGGCAAAAAGGTATAGACTACTAATGGTTACATACCAAATCAGGCATCTTGTGTGGAACATTTTGATGATACCTGTCTTCTACTTAAAGCACTTTTAATTTTCATATATTAAGTACATTCCTAAGAAAAAAGTTATGAAAAAAAGAAAAGTTTAAAGATCCACATATTTGAGCTGGTTGGCAGTTTTCAGTTAATGAAATTCGATGGAATATTTGGCCCTGCCTAGAACCTCCTGTAGGCTATTTAAACCTTGCCAAGTGCTCAGTTGAGTGAGTGGGTGGAGAGATTTTAAGTTAGTCAATGGTCCGGTTAGTAGTTAGTAGTCAGTCAGTTAGTTTTAAACTGATTGAAGAGTCTTGAAGAGTACAAATACTAAAATGCGTGAATCGACGAGTTAGTTCTGCTGCAGACTATCAGAGTGTTAGTTGAGAGCTATTAGTAAATGAATCAGTTAAGCGATTCCGATGTTTGTGAGTTCTTTAAGGGGTAGGCTCTTATCAGTGACAAGATTATATTGTTTTCTCAACTGTCAATTATATCTGTATTTGTGTTTACTAGACCTCGGTTAAGGATTGTATTTTAAAATAATTATTTATAATTTATTGATAACAATAATCAATAAAATATTAGTAAACTGATTGAGGGTCTTTATATCCCTGAGTTTTCCTGCTTTGGATTTCCCTACACATAATTGTTTTAAGGAGATTCAATATATAGGTGAGAAACCAAAAAAGAAAGCAAGATTCCGGGCTAAATTTCTGTTCCCAAACCTAAAATCTGTATTTGTCAATCCAAAAAACTAGGGGAATTTTTTCCTATTTTCTCTATATTGCCTAGACTATAAGCTTCAAACAGAAGTTTTTTTTTGTTTCTTCAGTTTCAACAATTACATCTTGGGTAATCTGCTGATTTTCACTATCATGACAGGTGTGAAAACTTGAAGTGAGAAGAGAAAAAAACTTGGATAATAATACTAAGGATTTACAACTATTAATACAATTGTCATTTCAATTATTAAATTTAGTCATTTATATTTAAAATAACTACTGAAATGTATAAAAAGCTATATATATATTAAGTATGTATTGATTTATTGTTTCATGGGTGCGATAATGTCATTAATTTTTCAAAATAAGTCAGAAATTTTCTGAAAAGTCAGGAATTTGTTTTAAGATGAAATGCAATACTATTTTTGACCCTGAATATAAACCTTATCCCCTAACTGAACTGAATCTTATCTTATAGGTTACCCTATTTAATGTGGTCCTGAAAAATCATAGATGGTCATTTGACCACTTCAGAAAATATTCATACTTTATAGATAGACATATTCTTTGATGATGTAAGAGTTCTAAAAAAAATTTTTTTATATCCAATTTACAATTGACGATAATTTTTATTTCAGGTTTTTGTCTGTTTTAGTGTTTTACAAACATGTATGTTTTTCTAAAGTTCTCAACACTGGATTTTTTTGGGCCTTTCAAATAAATAGCGTTGTATTCAGTACATATAATTATAAATATACCAGATCAGGAGGTTTTTGGCACACCCGCTGGCAAAATCTTCAATGGAATTTATTTTATTTTTTTATTAAGCTGATAAAAAGATGTATTTATTTTGTCTACAGAAAAAGTTCTGATGGAGGAGAATGTTATGGACTTCACTCAGGGAAAAGATCGTTCAAATTATGCTGAGAATGTTTTACCACCAGGTCTTACAAATTTATCTGAATTTACTGTTCATGTAAGTATATGCTGTTTACTTTATCCACGTTGTTTATAATTAATACATTCATTTACATGAAATATTGCTCTGAAATCAATCTTTTATTGATGTTCATATGACCAGACAGAGCTGAGTAGAATCTAAATATAACAAAATCTATTCTTTTTTTTCTTATGCCTCTTGACTTTCTACTTCTGCCATGAGTCTTCTAGTAGTCTTTAAGCTGTTATAGACGACACATCTGTAATCGTTTGGTTCACTTGAAGCGTTTAGTTCTCTTGAAGATATCCAGAGAGCAAGTGGTTTACAATAACCGGACGTGATCATGATAACTCCCTCCTCATCAGGCACTTTCCTGAAGTATGATTTCCAACTCTTTGCAGAAATCTTCACCCTGCTTGGTGTCCTCAAACCCGCATTATTCTTTGTTATAGACGAGGGCACTTCAGTGCATTTTAGTTTATTTTTTATTCTCGGCAGTAGGTGGTAAATTTCATGATTATATATTTCTACCTAAGGGACCTAAGAGAGTGTTCTGCCTCAGTGGAAAGGTGCCCAGATCCTTTTTCTTTCAAAAGGGCGTCAAGCATGGTGACAGCTTAAGTCTCCTTCTCTTCATAAGATGAATGAGATTCTTAAGATCTGTAAGAGATGAATTCCACAAAAAAATATCTTATAATGTATAAGGTACAGAAACCTTCTTTCTATTTTGGCATAAGCATTTGTATTTGCTGATGGCATAACAGGCTCTCAGTTTTAACAGCAGTTATTTAGTTATTCCTGCAAGACCAAGTGGTGTATGAAGAGGAAACCTGAATGATGAAGATCTGTGGGATGACCCAGAATGACTTACAGGGAGCATCTGGAAGGACTGGAAAAGATAACAGGAAAGACATGGGGTCAGATGCGTCAAATGGCCTAAGATAGAAATGAGTGAGGAAGTGGACTGAGGCACAAGAGTAAGGGAAAAAAGAAGAAGAAAAATAGCTGAATATTTAAGAGTGACATTTATTTCATAACATGAAGTTCATCGACCATTTCATAACATAAATAAAACTCAGAATCGAAACAATGTCTACTATTTGATTTAGCAAAATGTAAGAATATCTATCGAAAATATTTATCTCTGTGGAACATATTTCAGTTGTGATCTGTATTAAATTTGTCTTTAATTAATTATTTAACCTAAACTAATAGTAAGTAAAATTACTGCTTAAAATTTTACTGAGCATATCAGCTTTCCTGTTTCTTAACTAATAAAATTTATTAATCTATTAACATAAACATAACTTCTATGTATTTGTGTTTTTAGTGTTATTTTTATTATCTTAATCATTATTTTATAATTTTTTAGTCTCGAATAGAATGGAGGGGAGATATGCCATTGTGTCGTCGTTGTTTGGTTGTTACTCAACTAAGGATACGAACAAAGGGGCGCTCTTCATCGGTAGAAACTGTACTTAGGGAATTAATTGCCCTGGGTTTAGTGTCGATACCTGTTCCTCATTATATTAGCCGACTACCATATTTAAATAGAAATGTTGTACAAATCAAAAGTAGTGATGAAACCCGAAATTCTCAAGGCTCAAATTTCGATGACGAAACATAGAAATATTTTTCCAATATACTTTATATTTGTTGTACAATATTGATATTAAAAAATATTTATCATTGTCATTATATGATTTTGTTTTATATTCTTTAGTGTATTTTATTTGACTCTTCTGGTATTTTAATAGATTAGATAAATACATATTTATAATAAATGAGGTACATTGTATTTCAAATACATAATCATCATTTTATGATGTTTAATCAATTTATGAACCAAGATGGTTTATCTTGTCATGATCTTATTCATTTCAGGATTAATGTATCTATTAGTGAGTTATTATATTGTTTTATTGCAGATAGTGTAATGTAATTTTTGTTTTTAAATATAACTGTTTATGACTAGTTGCAGTTCGTCTAAATATTTTGCCTCAGTGTAACTAGGAGGCTGCTGTTATTATGGATTTTGTTTTTCTTTAAATAATCTCATCTGGAACTTTCTTTTTTCTTTGAACTTCTGGCTTTGCCATATTCATAATCTCAATAAAATTGAGTATGGAAATAGTTTAGATAACTGAATTTATCAATAATTTCACAAAAAAAATTGTTTATAACAACATAAATGAAGTTAATTAAGATTAACTATGATATCAGAATTACTCATAACGTTTATTAACTGAAAAATGACAAACTATTTTTATTTAATATATCTATACATTTATTTTATATTTATTTAACATTAAAATAAAAGTCTTACCAGCTTTTATTTTAAAATTATTAATTACCTTTTCCTTACTTTTGATGTGCTTGTAAATAAAAATATATGTTAATGTAAAGTATTATGAAATAAAAATGATTTACAAATATTTTTTAAATTTATTAATTAGATTGATTAAATATGTATAAATTATTATTTTAGTAATCATTTTAATTTATATTTATGAACTGATGTTTTAATTTTTTTTAAAATAAAATAAAAAATGCAAATTATTACACAATGGTTTATTATTTCCTAAAAGTTATGTATCATAAGTAACACTACTTTCCTTTCAACAAATAAATGAAAGATGTTTGCGGGTGTTGGCCTGCAGAAGAATATATTTTTTTCTACATTTTTGTTGAGAAATATAGAAGAAAATCTCAATTGCTTCAGTTGATGTAACAAAGGAAATTAGTTTTGCAGTAGAAGATGTGTTAAACATTTATAATACTTTATTTCTTTACCAAAACGTCTGATTTCAATGATTATTTTTTTTATTATTTAAACACCAATTTTTTAAAATTTGATTTATGGATGCTATTTGTCTTGAAATGTAAAACCTCAAAGTTTGAGGTAGTTAACTTTTTTTTTCTTGATCAATTACAAAGGTTCATTATAGAAAAATAGAACTTATAATACAACTTCATCCCTCAAAACTGTTACTTAGGGTAAAACCTTAGGATACGACAAAACCTTATAATCTTTGAATCTCATATGGTCCGAACATTAATGAATTAAGATTTAAAGAAATAAAGAGATTGTTATTTTGGACATTTTTGTAAAATTTTGCTTAAAAAATTATAAATATTATTATTATAGCTTCCGAATTGGAAAGTGAGTATTAGCTTTCTCCAAAACTAATTGCCATGTCTTTCTATAGCTGGTCATCGCCGATGAGTAATTTTTTCTTACAATTCCAGCATCACTTGCGACACAATAAGTCAGTTTTTTTTTTTTGTCCTCCCCTTCCTCGCCGTTAAGGCTATATGGGGCTTTCCCGGGCCAGGGAGTGTGGGCGGGGATTTAAAAGACTCCCTCGGCACGCGAACTCGTGACTATTTTTATATCATTAGATTCATTTGTCGGGTTGCCAGGCAACGGCGGTGCTGTGCAAATGCTTTGGCCCATTCAGCCACCCCGCCCACACAATAAGTCAGTTGTCAAAAATTGCTTCATAGTGTTATTCATGCACAGTAATTTGTGGCATGGTGCACAAAGAAACATAAATAACTAATCTTTAACCCTAAATTCAGGTAAGTCTAAGGTTTGGTGTTCCACATATCTCCAAAGATGAAGAAACTTAAGACTTTAGTTTGGCGGAACACAAGTTTGGGGTATACCAGGAACTACCATATCTGGCTGTACTCTTTTCTTCTTCTGGATAATTTGAAAGAGCTGTGGAACACTTCTTACTAAGATCATCTGTTAGAGCGACCAAAGTAATGGCAATCCCAAGAAATGAAAAAGCGATTCTTGGTCTCCCAAGAATCTCGCCCTGTAATGTGGACTTACGTTGATTTAACTTTATCTTTTATGTCCACCCCTTTCCCTCTTTCATGCTATATGGAATTTTCCTGGGCCAGGGGGTAAGGGTGGGGCATTAATTCCAGAGTTAAAAAAAAGGTTACCAGGCAACCCTGGATACTATACACATATATTAGCTTTCCCTCTCCCCCACCAAATTAACTTAACCATAACATAGCCTTCTCCTACCAGATCAGTAAACTGAAATTGATACATGCTTTTATATTCTGGTGTTACCTTCCCAACAAAGCTATTTTTACTTATTTTTATTTTCGATAGTGATATCAGTATCACTGAACAAGCCATAAATTTCGCCTTTATTCTCCTCCATTATTAATAGGACCTAAGATGGATAACCTTTCGAAAAACCTAAAGTTTCTTATTTCTCACCTTTGGAATAAACCAGGTTTCTGATCTGTAGGTTAGAACAGGTTGTATTAAGGTTTTATATAAATATTTTTCTCTATTTTAAAATTATGTTACGAAAATGGGATTTCTTATTCTGTGGTATCACACAAATACGATCCCAAGTTATTGAATTAGAATACTTGTTCTATCATGAAAAAATCTCCAACAAATGAAGCAACTCTGCAGGGACTGTGAGGCTTGACAGCGTTGGATTGAGGACCCTCCAAGATAGAAATGGCAGAAGGAGGAAGATGAAGAAGAAGAAACTCTACAATGTAGGATTGGATCAAACTTTCCTCATTTGCCTGGGTGGCCTTTCATAGACCACATTCTTAGTTTTATCAAGGGCGGAATAACGCTTGTGTACAGCACTGCGTTATGCTGGACAACCTATTAACCGAAGTTAGTGGTGGACAAATAAATACGAGTTCAAATGTCGATGTCCGGTATCACTTTTAACTTGTCATAATTTCTCCGCTCTCTTCCACGGCCCAGGAAAAACCCCATGTAGCCGAAAAGGCAAGGAATGGGAAAATAAAAAAACAATTTAGTTTAACAATGATCAAATGTTTTTCTGTAGCTTCCAGGAGCATTCAAGTTTGGCAAGCAGGTGAAAGAAAGACCTACAATATCAATGTCAGGAGGAATTAGATTGGCGCAAGATGTTACTATTGGTCTGAATACCAGAATCTCTCACTGCTTTTTCTAGGACGAGATTAAAAAGCAGACAGGCGAAGGCATCACCCTACCTGACACAATGTCTGAAGTCAACGTTTCTGACGAATCCTGGATTTATTCCATACATTCAAAACCACCTGTTTTGATAATTTTTTGGCTCAAAAAATAGTTACATAACTAGAAGCAGTCAACCTAAACACGTTACTCTCTTATCTTAGTGGGGTATTAATTGTAGTTTAATTTTATATTTTTAAGATTCTTGAAATTAAACATTATTAGTTTTTTCTTTCATTTACCTATATATGTAATATATAGTAAAAGAAAGTATTACGATCGTGAAAATTTTTGAATCTGAGTTTTAACGTAAATACCTGTTTTGAGGTCCCTTGAGTCTATATATAAATAACGAAGTCCTGCAAAATAGTCTATGTGGGTGTCTGTGAACAGTCTAGCTTAGAAGTCTCCAAACTACGGCCCGCACTTCCGATCCGGGCCCGCGAAAGTTCCTTTGATTACATGGTACAGTTTTAAAAACTATTAAAAAAATATAAAATTTAGTAGATTTTTAATTCAAAAGGTTATGCAACATTTATTGCATGTTTTTCGTTTTTGAGTTGACGAGGAGTCTCCAAAGGGTAGGATATGAAGCAAGAATACGCAAATGCGAGGGAAAGACGGCAAATTGACAGTATCAAAAGAAAAGATCCTAAGCATATGGAAGGAACACTTCCAGCAGCTGCTTAATCAAGGGCACCCCACAAACGAAGAAGACATCGACCCACTTGAGATTGAATAACCTAATATTCTGGATGTGGAAATAGCTATCGGCAGGCTTGAAAGAAGAAAGGCTCCAGGAATAGACAGCCTACCATCAGAATTGTTCAAGGATGGAAGAGAAGACCTCAGAGCCAAGCTGTTAGATCCAATCCAGAAGATATGGGAGAAGGAACGGATTCCCAAAGCATAGAACACAGGGTTGATCTGTCCTATCCTTAAGAAGGGCTCCATGTATGAATGTGGCAATTACAGAGGCATAGCACTTCTTCTGGTAGCCTATAAAATAATGACTAATATTCTACTAAATCGGATATATCCGTATTATAAAAACATACTAGGCGACCATCAAACAAGATTTAGGAGAGGAAGGAGTACCCTAGATCAGATATTCATCCTAAAACAAGTACTTGAAAAACGATGGGAAGTAGATCAGGACGTACACGTATTATTTGTCGACTTCAAAGCAGCCTATGACTCCGTGGACAGAAACTGTCTCTGGAAGATCATGACTGAGCTGGGTGTTCCCTGAAAGTTAGTAAGGTTGACAAAGCCGTGTACAAATCATCCTAAATGTACGGTACTAATACAAGGAGAAATATTTGAAGCCTTTGAAGTTCGAACGGGTTTGAGGGAGGGAGATGGACTCTCGCCGATGCCGTTCAACTTAGCACTAGAGAAAGTAATAAGAACAACATCACGGGAAGATGGAGGGGTGCACGTTGGAATGAAACACTAATACACGGTGGGCCAGACCCCCTTACCGTGCACCCTCCCCACATCCCTATAAATTGCATATCGTTGTGTTCCTTGTAACAATTTATTAAAAAAAAGCCAATGTTCCCACAAAAAAAAGTGAACGCACTGCCCCAAAATGGCGTCCAAAGATGGCGAATTGACGACTTTGACTTTAGTTAGTTTTTTGGTCACTGAGAATCAGCATTTGGCTTAATTTCCTCATAGTTAGTCTTTTATTAAAGCTGAATAGTTATAGAATAATAAAACATGAAGAAATATTAAAAAATAATTGACTTAGGCTATGAAAAACACTACTAAAGTCAATTTTTTCAACAAAAAATTTTTCAAGTTACAAATCAAGCGTCGTTTGTAATTAAACGGCCTACAATAACGCAAAACGTGTTGAAATAAACCATCTGGAGAATATATTTCTCTTTCTAAAACGCTGATTATGTTTTAGAAATGTTTAAGCATTT